TGCTTTACCGGGGTGGTAAAGTATCTCACAGTCATAGTCCTTGAGTAGTTCTAGCCAGTGTCGTTGCCTCATGTTTAATTCTTTCTGATTAAAGAGATATTGGAGACTCTTATGATCAGTGAAAAGCTTTCACTTCGTGCCGTAGAGGTAATGCCTCCATATCTTTAAGGAAAAGACTACCGCTGCCAACTCCAGATCATGAGTGGGGTAGTTCTTTTCATGGTCTTTCAATTGTCGAGATGCATATGCTATCACCTTTTCTCTCTGGGTTAGAACACAACCCAACCCGACTCCAGATGCGTCACTATAAACTGCGAAGTCTTCAACTCCATCGGGTAGAGAAAGTACCGGTGCTTCAAATAACTTCTTCTTTAGCTTCTCGAATGCCTCATCGTGTTTCTCACTCCACGTATATGTAGCTCCTTTGTGGGTCAACGCTGTCAATGGTGCAGCTATTGAAGAAAAGCCTTGGATAAATCGTTGGTAATATCCAACTAATCCTAGAAAGCTTCGAATCTCTGTGGGACTTTTCGGACGTTCCCACTTCATCACAGCCTCGATCTTTGCGGGGTCAACCATTATCCCTTCTTGGTTAACCACGTGACCCAAGACCTGGACTTCTCGTATCCAAAAGTCGCATTTGGAGAACTTAGCGTAAAGCTTCTCCTTCTTTAACACTTCCAACACTTCCCGTAGATGCTTTCCATGCCCCCCTTGGCTTTTCGAGTAGATCAGAATGTCGTCGATGAACACCATTACGGATTTATCGAGGAATGGTTTACAAACCCTATTCATCAAATCCATGAACGCTGCTGGAGCATTGGTTAGTCCAAATGACATAACCAAGAACTCGTAGTGTCCATATCTAGTTCTAAATGCAGTCCTCTCGATATCTTGCTCTCTCACCTTCAGCTGATGATATCCTGACCTAAGATCGATCTTTGAGAAGTAGCTCGAACCTTGCAGCTGATCGAATAGGTCATCAATCCTCGACAATGGATACTTGTTCTTCACCGTTGCCTTATTCAGCTCTCGGTAGTCTATGCACATCCTCATGCTTCCGTCCTTCTTCTTCACGAATAACATCGGAGCTCCCCAGGGTGATGAACTAGGTCGAATGAAACCGTTGTCCAACAGCTCCTGAAGTTACATCATAAGCTCCTTCATCTCTGTCGGTGCTAATCGGTAAGGTGCTTTTGCTATCGGTGTTGTACCTGGTAACAAGTCTATCCAAAACTCCACTTGTCTATCAGGTGGTAACCCGGGAAGATCTTCGGGAAAGACTTCCGGATAATCACACACAACCGGTATATTCTGCACCTCTTTCTTTTCCTTCTTAGCATCGATTACGAATCCCAAGTATGATGTACATCCTTTGGAAAAACATTTCCTGGCTTTCATCAGGGAGATGATTCCAGAATTCACTTTGCGTTTGTCCCCGTACACCATAAATGATTCCTTTCCGGGTGGGTTTACCCTTACTATCTTCTTTCGGCATTGAATTTCAGCATCGTTGGCGCTAAGCCAATCCATACCCAAAACGATGTCGAAACTGTTTAACTCTATGGGTAATAGCTCCTCGTGGAATTCGTTTCCGTTTAGGTCGATGACGATGTTCCTAATACGATCAATAACAGGTACGAATTTGCCACTGGCAACTTCTACAATCATGGCATTATCAAGTTTTTCTACAGGCAATGCTAATTTCCTACCAAATTTACACGACACAAAGGAGCAGTTGGCTCCGGAATCAAATAGTATATTGGCAGGCAAACCATTTACAAGAAAGGTACCTGAAGCGACGTCTGCTGCCTCCTTCGCAGCCTCGAGCGTCATCTGGAAGGCTCTTGCCTTCGGCTTCGGTGGTATGTTGGGTATTCCTGCCTCCTTCTTCTTCGGGCAATCCTTTTGAAATGTGCCCCTCCTCGTTGCACTCACAACAGACCTTCTTAGTGAACATGCATTCATTGGCATAGTGCCCAGGCTTTCCGCATTTGAAACAAGTAACCCCTCCGTCACACTTCCCAGAGTGCTTCTTCTTGCACTTGTCACACCACTTCGCTTCGGCTCCTCCTCCTCTCGAACCAGACTTCGAGAATTTACTCTTCTTATCGGACCTCGAGGATCCATCAAATTTCCTTTTCTCTCCCACCTCCGCTCTCTACAGACCCTTCTCTCATATCTGGGTCTCCACATTCTTAGCAGCCCAGATGGCGGCTTTCAGAGTGGTATTTTGCTTGACCATTGGACCAAAGTCCGCTGGTAATCCGAGGGTGGATATAATATGTATGGTGAATAATACAAATATGACAAGCATGACATTATTTGACTGATGTTTCTGAAACTTTATCAAGAATGCTTCTCCTGTGACCAATTAGATTGTGAATTCCATGCTAGACAGGTTTTTTCCAAACGGTAGGTGTTGGTTTTTGAGTTTTTAAAAGTCAATTGCTATCATTATTTTTGTTTATATATTAATGAAATATTTTCTTCTTTTAGCAATTGAAACCATAAGGAATAATCAACCCATCATCTTTGACTCACCAACTTGTTTCTTCACGAGCACTTCTTCTTGCTACTAACACTTCAGGTAACATTCATTAAGGAGAGCAAGGCCTTTTGGGGTGTCAAAAGAGGTAGATTTTTTTCCATAATTCCCATAAACATGTGTAAGAGCATGCACAAATGTGACATTCTCGAATTTTCCTAAAAATATAAACAAAACCTACAACATGAAAAACACACTAATATTCCCAAAATAAATATCAAGTAAATTAATATAAAAACTAAATTCTAATCATAAATTAGCTAAACTATAATATTAAAATATCATATTTTATTGTTGTTCTAAAAAAAATAAAAAATAAAAATAAATAAAAATAAAAATTAAAAAATAAAAAAATTAAAAAATCATATTTTACTTTTATTTATAAAATTATGATTTTAACCTTTTTACATATTATAATTAACTTATTAGTTTAAATATGTTATCTTATGTGAGCAATTGACATTTTAAAATCATAACTTTTGTATAATTTATGATTTTATGCAAATTAATTAAATTATTAATTTCAATATAATGTTAAACGGTTAACTTAAATCAAAATTTCACAAACTTGAAAAAAATCGAGAGACTATTATATAGATAGTTAAAAGTTATAAAATAGTGTTCAACCTAAAATGTAATCCTAAATTAACAAAATAAAACCATGAAACTATTTTTTATAATCATTAAGAATTTTCAAATAAGTAACTTAAAAATAACTTACAATAGAATAGTTAAAAGTAAATATTATACAAAAACTATAATGTTATATTTAAAAACAAAAACAATGTTTATTGTTTTAAATAATTACAACCAATGAAACTAACAATATTCATCACATAAGTTTTAAAAAAGTTAAATTTCTGAAACCAAATAAGAGTTTCCAAATACGTTATTTTAAATAACTTACAACAACAGTAGTTAAAAGTAATATTATTTACAAAAATTATATTGTTATCTATAAAAACAAAAACAATGTTTGATATTTTAAATAATTACAATGATATAAATTAAAAAATCTTAAGCGAATAAACTTTTTAAAATTAATTAATCATAAAAACAACTATAAATATCATTAAGTCATATATTATATTTAATTTGTTCATGAGTAACCTTCCATGATATATATATATATATATATATATATATATATATATATATATATATATATATATATATATATATATATTTTGCAAATTAAGTAATTTAAAAAATAAACATTTCAAACATACTATTTTTTTTAAAACAAAATTTACATTAGCTTCAAAGAAAATCACACACTTACACTTAAAAACACAACACATTTGAAATTAGAATAATACAAACTTAAACTTAAAAGACATAACACACTTGAAATTAAATTAACACATACGGAAACTTAAAAAACATAACACACTAAAAAAAATTAATTTAAAAGACGAGTTTAAAATTAAGCATATTTGAGGTCTGCCTCATAATTTGCCAAAACTCAACAAACCGAAAATTTTTGTTAGTTTCAATACGGTATGCTTCAATAGCATTCTCTAGCAAAGTATTTCGTTTCTACCATTTTCAGCTTCATGCATCACCCTACGAAACACACTGTTAAACAGGGTTGTAAGTACGTTTGTGTGCCTCCATTTGGAATCGATTTATTCTTTACCTCGAGGCACTGGGGCTTTGCGGTTGTATTTTTCGGTTATTATCCTCCAAAAGGTTGTCGTATGGAGGGTAATATGAATTGGGTCTTCTGTAACATCAACCCATGAATAAGCCAACAACATCTTTTCATTAGGGGACAAAAACGAACCACACATGCATTAGCGATAATGTTTTGAAGAATATGAAAAATAAGAAAGTTAGGAAAATCGAATTAAGAAGATTTGAATAAGATGAAAAATGAATTAGGACGATGATATTTATAGTTTAATATTTGAAATTTTGAAAAAAATGGTTATATTTTTTAAATTGAGTATTTTTTTTTTTTGAAAAGATGGTAATTTTTTGAAAAAATAAAGAATTTGATTAAATGATAAAAAAAAGAGCAATATTTATATTATTATTTACAAATTTCTCTCTCATTGGTGAAACCCCACCGAATTGCTTCGGCTCCGCATGCCTCGACTAGGCATTCATCGAAGATGCCGACCCAATTGCCGAGCCTACTCCAAATCCAACCAGCATTATAATTTAAAGGGAAAAGAAAACGAAATAAATAACCCTTATTAAAAATACGGCGGCTTCCGCAGTACCGCAGCACCACCTCAGTCAGTCACGTTAATATCATTCGTAACCATCGTCATCTATTTTCATTTTCTATAATCCTTTCGAGTTTTACTTAAAAGGGTTCCGTTTCCAAGGTCATCTGTACACGCTTCTTCAGCACGTTTAAAGCTACCCCAAAATAAATGCTTCATTACAAAGCATTATAAAAACACCTGAAAACCCTAATTTCCAGCAGCTCCCAGTAAGATCAATGGCTTTCCCAAACATGGTACTTAAGCTGCTGGTCCAAAGGAGAACCCAAAAAGTCTTATTTGCAGAAGCCACTAAGGAGTTTGTAGATTTTCTGTTGCACATCTTCTCTCTGCCTCTCGGCACCCTCATCCAGCTACCGGGTTCCAATCAAATGGTAGGTAGTTTGGGTCAACTCAAAGAAAGCGTTGAGATATTGAATCAAGCTTACTTTCAACCAGGTATCCGTAAAGATGATATCGTTAACCCTAAAACAACGTTCAATGGAAACATGCTTCTGTTGTTGAATGATGCCTCTATGGATGATGAACCTTATACACCAAAAACACTCTACAGGTGTAGTTACAATATTCGTTCTCCAGGTTCAGGTTATAATAATGGTCGTTGTAATTATATATGCGTGAGTGAAAATCCGGATGTTGTGTGTCCTAGTTGTGGTGCTTTGATGAATTTCCGTTTGACGCCTGCTGGGCCGCCTAAAAAGGACGATGAGGCGGCGATGAAGGAAGCGGAGAGGAAGAAAGTACTACAAGGTGGGTATGTGAAGGAGGTGGTGACTTATATGGTTATGGATAACTTGGTGGTGAAACCCATGTCCACCATTTCTAGCATTACTCTCATCAATAGCTTTGGGGTGAATGATCTGAATCAGCTTGAGGAGAAATTATTTTCATTTGGAAATGATGAGGTAATTATATATTATAAAACTTTTTCTTGTGAAGTACAAATTATTGTTAATTGTTAATGTTGAATTTGTTATATGAGTTTTGATAGGCACTGGAGTTGTTGAAGGCGTCTTTGATGACGGACCAAGTGCTAACGATTCTGTTCAGGCAGATGGAATGACAGATCATCCTTGGAATACGATCGATCATTTTGCTGTAGTAGTGCTGTCGTTTTTGAGGGATTATCTTTTGTTATTATATATCTGAATCTTGATGGCATAATTATGGATGGTGATGATAATGGCTGTGGATTTTTAGATTTAATGTTGTTTTGGGTCTGTTGGTGTCTGTATGTAATCTTTCCGCGTTTATATATTATGTATGTATTGTCTTGCTTAATTTTCTAGTTATGTAATGTTTTCGTTTTTATTAGGTTAATACATTTTTTTTAACCATTACTAGGTGGTTAAAATCGGTTTTGGTTAATGGTTAAGTGGTTAATTCAAATGTGGTTATCGGTTAATTTTGGTTAACCAAAAAGATTATAAAAAGTAAATTTATTTCAAAGAAAAGTAAAATTCATTAGGAGTAAATATATTGTTACATCATTTGCTGGTTCATTTCTTTTATTAGTAACATCAATCACCGGATTCAATTCATCCCTTAAAGTTGTATTTTGGTTTTTTGTGGCTTCTTCCATACAAAATTTTTTGAAAATATATTCATACTGAAATTGTGATAATATGACATCAACGGAATGGGTGAAGACACTTAAATATTTTAAGCTTGCGTTAAAAACTATTCAAATTACAATCCCACTCATATTTTGGTTTTTTGATGCACTTTAGTGCACTTTAAATATTTCCTGAAAATATATCCACATTAGAATTTGTCAATATGGGTTTAGCATTTTAAGAGGTCACGTAACAGTGAGATTGTAATTTAAACTCACTAAAGCAAACTTCAAAAACAAACATGGAACGAATCAAGACGTGAAGTGCAGTAAAACACGGAAAAAAAAACAAAACAAAATAACAGAAGGATATTAAAAAAATACCTGAATAGTGAATCCAAAGGGGATGAAAAAGAGACGTTTATATTTTCTAATATGCAAGTGGACTTTGACAATGAAGATTGAAGAAGAAGAAGAAGAATGACGCGGGTATTGTCAATAATAAAAGGGTTTTATTTTACTTGGGCTTTGGTATTTTCAATATTTCTGGACGGTTGTACACTGGATATCGGTTATCAAAAATAAAAATCAAATCAAACGGTTTTAAAAATGGTTCGGTTAATATGGTTCGGTTTTAACGGCTTTAGCGGTTATGGTTCGGTTTTTCGGTTTTTATACTCACCCCTAGCTTTTATGACGTTGTATAAAATGCAAATTACCGATCTTCCATCTCTTAATTTTTTCTTCTTTGCTTCCTTCCTTCTTTGACAAACCTCTCTCTCTCTCTCTCTCTCTCTCTCTCTCTCTCTCTCTCTCTCTCTCTCTCTCTCTCTCTCTCTCTCTCTCCAAAACTCCATCCGCCCCTTGCAATCCTTGCATCCTGAAACCCTTCCCCGATCGAAATCCCAACAACGATACCTTGGCCCTCAATCTTGATATAAATATGCGAACACATCCATTAGAAAAACCTTATTTTTCTGATAAAAACAACATTTGTTTCTCACTAAACCCCTCCTCTTTCTCTTCTTCAAAAGCCAACACAACAGGGTTTTTTTTCATTGTATTTCTCAGTAAAAATATGAGATGTAATTCGATGTTTTATCTGAAAAGTCTTGATTAAGTAGAAATTTCAGTCAATATCATTAAAAATATTAACAATAGTCAACATCATCTATCTACCTCCTCTAATAAATAAAACCTCTAAATTGACACGTGTCCCTCTTCTAATACATTCATTTGCCACATGGCATTCTTCTAATTCCTTCATACGTTTTCTTCTCAGCTAAGTCAAATATCATCCGATTTTACTCCTTTTGACTGATATTAATACCTTTTAAGATTAACAAGTATCTTATCATTAATTGAAATTTAAATTCAATTCTTATCTAAGGAAACCTACTTATTATGAAAAAGTCTATTTGAAGATAAATCCCAATAAATTAGGGAGAAACAATCGTCCATACCTTATTGCCTGTCAATTGTATGTTATATAATATATACCACCATCATCCTTAATGTAGTCTTACGATTTTAGTTTGGTTACTAATTTACGAAATCAAAAGGAATACAACAAGAAACCACCTGTTCATACTCTTCTTCATTCTTCATACGTTTTCTGTTGATTATTGTTTTTTTCATTTCTTTTGATAGATCGGTTTTAATCTTCCCCACTCTTCATTCATTCACCGTTTAGCAATTGAATTTCGAATTTTATTATTCCTGTTGATTGTTTATGTCAATGTACTTTTCGATTTGTCAATTTATAGCATGGTACTTTAAATAATGTACTTTATGCCAGGGTAAAAGAGTATCAATCCTTGTATTTGCATCCACGTCCATCATTTCCTCCCTCCTGCTGGTTTTGCCTAACTATCGGTGGGTTGGCTTGACCAATAGTCCCACTGTAGTTTCCTCCTTCTGACTGCCCATCATTCAGCTCGCGCTATTCAATTGGTACCGTAAGTTCTTCTCGATTCTGTGAAGTAAACGCCTTGTTTCCTCCATTTGGCGATCCAACATCATCTGGATCATCGCTTGCACTCTGGCCATCGTCATTGGCTCAGGTGCCACTTCTTCGACAACATGTATTTGTTGTATCACTGGGGGTTGGTTCCTATTCCCATTTGCATTTACGTTTCCGCTACGGGTCCTTGCCATCTTGTTCTATACACCGAATAAGGTGAATTTAGATCTTTATTTAGGATAGACGTTTAAATCATCCTTATCACTCCGAAACATTTATATGCTAGTTCTAATATCGTACTCGTACGTTTAGAATCCTAAACACATAAGGTTTCCAGATCCGGTCGGCAACAGACCATAGATCCGAACAATAATAGCATATCAGGCACAAAGCATTTAGCACATAAAAGCATTTTAGGCATAATTCCTAAAATAAGCTAGTGCTCACACCTCACAATCATTGCTTAGCATTCTAAGTTTAAGTCTAGAAATCCTACAAATTCCTAGTTCGCTTAAACTAATGCTCTGATACCAACTGTGACATCCCCAATTTTCACGACCAGAAAAGACCGATTTTGTTTATGCTTTGTTTGAAAATCAGAGTAACATTTTAAATAAAAGTGTTGCGGAATTGTCCCAAAACAAAATATGATAAAGATTTATCAAAAGCATTTCCATAGAAATGTATTTCATTAAAAGACTTGGGATGTCATGTTCGTACAGATCAAAAGCATAAACAGTACAATATAAGCCTTACTACATTATTTCATATCTACAGACCTATATCCGTAATCCCTCATCCAAAACATCACATCTATGCTCATGCACCACTACCTGTAATACAAGAAACTGAGTGGGTCAGGCTTGGGAGCCTCGTGAGCACATAGGGTTTTCAACCCACAATAAATAAGTTTATTAATTTCATCAACCAACAATAACCCGATTACCCGTTCCCGTTATCCTCACATTACGTCCCTAAACACCTATCATAAGGGACCTATCTTAAGGATCATTATCAGGATGGACACTACTGCTAAGGGGATTCCTCAGCAATAAATGTCCTAAAGGCAACCATGTCGGGGATGGAGTACACCGGTGAACACATCGTTCACAAACACCTACAGGTTGCGAGCCTTCTAGCGTTCCGCTGGACTGTCTAGAAGAGTCTGTGGTTGTCATCCATACTCTGCTAGATGACATAATCAACAACAACAACATCGAGGCCTCTCATCATTTTATCACTCATCACCTATTACATCTACCCATGTTTTACCCCAACATTTTTGTAGATATAAAATACATATACAGTTTAAATCATTGAAAACATGTATAAAAACGTTCATCCAGCATAGATAGCAAGTATTCAGATAATATGCACACATAACACGTAATTTATGTAAAATACTTCATATCTATGTGTAAGCTGAAAGTAACTATACACTCACGTGAAAGGTGGTGACTCAGCACTCGGACAGCGCTTTGATACTCTTAAAACAGTTTTCCTTCGATAAAACCTAGTATCAATACCACTAGGGTTTAGTCTAACGTCAACCGCGACTAATTAATAGTCTGACTATTATTACTATTATATAAGCGTTAAATAACACTCAATATAACTCATAATAATAGCCCAAATAATTATTTTAAGGACCTAATAACATTACTATAATTATTTGAAAGCTATATTAAAAATTGCACAAGCGTAGCTCACTTACAGCGGTTTTTAAAGAAAACCAGGCTTTGCTCGGAGCAGCGTTTCGAAACCGAAAGACCCTTTTTCTCGGGACTCCGGGAGCCTCGGGGCTTCCTTCGGGTGCCATGGGTTTTTCCTAGGGTTTAGGGGAGTTAAAATGGGTAGTGAGAGAAAGTAGTTTAGAGAGAGAAGTGAAAATGTGTGAAAAATCCGGGAGAATTCGCATTGTATTTATAGGGGCGGGGCCTCGGTTCTATGCTGGGCGTACCGAGGGTACGCTGGGCGTACGCCTCGGATAAGGCCACCAGCACGGATCCAGCTGTCTTTGTACATCGGATGGATAAGGCGAGGGTACGCGGGGCGTACTGACTTCGGACGCAGGGCGTAGGCGAGGAGTGACGTGTCGTCCATCCGAAGCAAGGCGTGATCAGCAAGCGACGGTCCAGATCATGCCACGTCATCATCAGCTTCGCGATTTGCACTCTCAACTTCTAAAAAACATAACTTTCGCATACGAGCTCCGTTTTTGACGTTCTTTATATCCACGCGAAGGTGGGAACGTACTCTACTACTTTCTTTTAGACCCCATTGGCTAATTTTGACTTTATTTTAAAAGTTATATTATTAACAGGCCGGGACAGGATTGGTCCGTTAAATTTTCATAACTTCTTCATCCGACGTCCGTTTTCGCCCATCTTTTTCTCGTTACGCTACTCTTAACGAGATCTTCGATTCTTGTTTAGGTTGTGTTGGCTAAAAACCGCTCGATCTAATATTCGAATTTCGGGCTGTACACTGCTAATCCGAAACTTCAATAAATCATAACTTCTTCATACGAAGTCAGATTTGGGCA